ATATATATATATATAGTTTATTTAGAAAATTAATAAATCTTTGATATAGATAAGTCTAATATGTTATTTGACAGGAGTCTCATTGGATAATAAACAATGAGTATTTTGAATAGAAAATTAAATTGCCCGAGATATTAAAATTAAAAAAAAAGCACCTTAGAACTCTCACACATTGCTGACAGGAATGTAAAATGGTAAATGGTACAGGAACTGTGGAAAACAGTTTAGTGGTTCATCAAAAAGTTAAACATATAATTGCCATATGATCCAGCAATTCTCCTCCTAGGTATATAGTCCAAAGAACTGAAATCAGATGTTCGAACAAAAACTTGTAATTGAACATGCATATCAGAAATAATCATAATAGCTAAAAGGTAAAAACAATCCAATATCTATCAGCTAATGAATAAATAAAATAAAGAGTATTATTCAGCTATCAAAAGGAATGAAGTGCTCATACATGCTAACATACAGATGAACCCTCAAAAACATTATTCTGAGTGAAAGAAGCCAGACATGAAAGGCCACAGAGCGTATGATTCTGTTTATATGAAACATTCAAAATATGTAAATGTAAAGACACAGAAAGAAAATTAGTGTTACCAGGGCTCGGGAGGAGGGAAGAATGTGGACTAGGTGCTTTTTTCTTTTTCTTTATTCAATTTTGTTTGTTTTTAAACAGCATCTAACCACTTGGAAATGTCCCTAACACAAGGGCCTGCCCCATGCATTCTAGGAGGCTCCCCCAGTCAGGGCTGGGGTCCAGACTCCAGAATTCCCCCTCACCACACCAGCCATCAGGCCTATTTTGACTTTGGAGACTTGGGACAGAAGAGGGTCTTCAGTTAGAGGGGAAGTTGGAACTAAGGGTCACTGTTGGAAGGGTTGGGCTCAGACACAGATGCCTGTTAGTCTTATGTATGATATTTGGGATTTCACAGCATGCTCATATTGTGGGAAGGCATGGAGAAGGATTCTTGAACTCCTCTCCAGCCTCACTCCTTCCTGGGCAAGCCCCACAACACTCCTTCCTCTTGCTGGGCTTGGTGCATTGCCTTTAGAAGAGGGGCATCTGGTAACCTCTGGTACCAAGCCTCACTATGAACTGGTCAGCTTCAGGGAAGCACTCTCCTCTCACTGCCCCCAACCCTTCTCCTGGCCTAGGCAAGGTGGGGAATCAGGAAGATGACAAAAATTTAGATCTGAGAGTGTTCCTCCTACCACAGGGTTTCAAAACTGACTACACCAACCCCTTACCAACTCTCACCTAAAAAGGAATAATACAAGGGCACTCTTTGTGAGTTGGAGGAAGCAAACCTAGGCATTTAAACTCCAAGTGTGAGCACAGCTGGGCCCCAAGGCTGGAGGCAGCTCAATGCATGCATTAAAGCACCAGGGGCAGCTTAGCCGGGAGGGTAGGAGCCCACAGGGCTGGATCTATCCTACCCCCACTGCCAACCATACCCATGGTAACCATGGAAACATAACTATGCCCCACCCTTCCTGCCAGCTGCCTAGATTCAGACAACCAAGTCAGGACCACCTCCATCAAGCCAAGGCCTGAACTGATGCCAGGTTGGCCAGAGAGCGGCTGCAGGAAGAACTGGGATTGGGGAATTTGGTCAATCTAGGCTTCCCAGCACAGCTTGGGAGGACTACCACAGGAGTCTCCATACCTTGCTGTCTGGGCTGGGGTCAGACAGAGCTTAGTCAACCAGCACAGCAGCCAGCAGACCCAGTGGGATGGTCCTGGATGCCCTCTGCCTACGGGCTAACAGCTACTTCTCTTTTTGGTGATAAAAATGCTCTGCAAATAAAGAGCTAAGGTTGCCTAGCACTGTGAATGTATTAAACACTGAATTGTAGGCTCAACACCAATAGCACAGTGGTTACAGTGCCAGTCACATACACCAAGGGTGGTAGGTTTGAACCCGGCCCAGGCCAGCTAAACAACTGCAACAATAACAACAAAAATAGCCGGGCGTTGTGGCAAGCTCCTGTAGTCCCAGCTACTTGGGAGGCTGAGGTAAGAGAATTGCTTAAGCCCAAGAGTTTAAAGTTGCTGTGAGCTGTGACACCATGGCACACTACTGAGGGCAACATAGTGAGTCTATCTCAAAAACAAACAAATAAACAAACAAAAAAAACACTGAACTGTACACTTTAAAATAATGTATTTTTACCACAATAAAAAAAGAGTGAACTAAAAAAAAGTACCTTGATTTTTTCACTTTCTTTCCTTACTCGCTTTGCATTTTCAATAATGTAAACAGTGCTCTTGTTGACTTCATTGTCAGCTCTGTGTCTCAGCCAATCCTCATATCCCTAAAAAGATAAAAATAATTATATAATCAAGCTCCGATAATAAAGTTGTTAATTAATCTCTATACATCCCCCATGAGTCAAGAGGAGATATTTATGATTACAACATTAATTTAAACTAAGAATGCTAGAGAGATAGGGCTGTACATTTTAATAGCAAATATGAGATACTTTCAAAATACCTCTTAGGTAAATAGCTTCATTGTGTCAAAAGTTTTCTCCATTCTTTAGATAAATATTAATAAAAACACAGACATTAGAGCCTTAATATTCTTCATGCGTGAAAGACTGCTTTATTCTTCTAATTCTATTCTTATTCAAGTTAATGTTAATTCTCTACTTTTTTAATTTGAAAAGAGATTGTTCTAGGTTTGTATTTTCTTATAGATCTAATCACTGAAATATGTTTTTCAGTGCATAATGTAGTGAACTGATGGAATGATCGACTCCAAGGAAATACCGTAATTCCCACTCTCAGAGAATAGAAGGGACAAAGCATAGCAGAGAATCTGTAAGTTTAGAGATCAATAGCTAAACTTCTCCACTGACTTGGTGATAAAAGAAAATATAAATTGGCATTTATTTTTTAGAGTTTAAAGTAATCAGAATAAGATCTAATGACTCATTTTTCTTTGAGCTTTTGTCTGGGGTAGATTTAAGCTCAAGGAACTAAGGAAGGAGGATGTTCAATTGTTTAAGCATGACTTCCTTTCTTTTTTTATACCCCTTTGCTTTTTTTTTTCCATTGTAATGTCTGTACCTTTTCAAGTAAAACTGTTTGAAAAAAAATCTCTTGATCAGCTCCCCTACTTTCCTTCCCCCTCAGGTGCTATATCCATACCTCTTCTGTACTTCTTTATGACAATGTTAGGCTATCACTTCATAGGGTACATTCTGTGACAGCAGTGAAGAAAGAAAGGCCATAACATGAACTAGTATTGGGAGTAGAATGAGTTGGTAAAAGCCTTTGAAGACCGTACATGCTATTCTTAGAACTAGCAATTTTAGGACATTAAAGAAAATAATCCTAACAGCCTAAGGGAAAGAACATTCCAAAAGTCTTTGTTTAACAACTAAACATTTGATAAATGTTCCGGTAGGCAAGATAGAAAACCAAATAATCCCAAGAGGAAAGATAATCTTGTTCCCAGTACTATTATTAAGCAGACTTTTATTTTGCAAGCTTCTTTGGTAGCCTTTTAAAAATCACTTTGATAAGTACTACATAAAAGTATGTTTATAAGTAGTTAGGTCCCATGGACTGTCTCAATGCATGATAAACATTGTAAACCCACCCTTTTAGCTCCAATTTCCTGTTTTCATTCTTAATTTTATCTGGAATTTTTCAAAGGTACTAGAATATAAAATGTCCAAAATAATTCAAAACATCCATATCACGATCTGTGGTAGTTCATCAGCTCTGGTAAGAAAGAGGAATAAAAGTCCCCTCTATCCATGACCCCCTTCAGCAGTATTAGGAAAAATAATAAAATTAAGCTATTTGTGACCTTGAGTAGTCTGCTATGGGCAACAGCAACAAAAAATCCACAAGAATGGGAATTTTCCGGACAAACATACCACAGTGAAATAATTAATACATACTAATAATCTATCTCTCATTTCCTGACTGGGCTGTAACTTCTATACACTTTTTTTTTTCATGTTTACACCCACACACAAGGCACTGAGTAGGAAACAATTAAATTAAGGATATGCTTTATAATAATTTTAAAAGGTTTTCAGTATGAGGCAAATACAACCTAAATCCATAAAGGATACAGCCCACTGTATTTAAATATGAAAAGGAGCCAATGACAACAAAATTCAAACTTGCCTGGACTGAAATGCAGGTATAAGTATAAATAAAGAATTTACCTGCTTGATGGCTGTAACAGTTATAACAAAGAAAAGTGGAAGTCCACTGGTAACTGGGCTAGTTGGTGTATCTACTGTGACCTAGGTAAAGAAATTAAATTGAAAGTAAAATGAAAGTTACCCATTAACTCATATGTAGCACTTACATGCTGCAAACATTTTCAACCAGAAATATAGACAAAACACATTCCAATAGTAGGGCAAACGTTAATTTTCAAAAATTAACATTATCATTAACAAAAGTAAACCACATAGCAGTTAACTTTACAAAATAGTCCTAAATTTAGGCATAGTTCTCATCCCAGCTCAATTAACCCCTTTATTGAAATATATCCATTCACTTATCACCTCTTTATTAAGAGCTATTCTGTAAGTCCTTGTGTAAGCCCAGTCTCTAGAGATACTGCTTTAAACAAGCTAGAAGCAAGTTCTTGCCTTCAAGTAGCTGACAGCTTACAGGGAAAACCACAGACATTAAACCAAGTGTACAGATGCTGAGATCTGAAGGGTAAATAGGAGTTAAGTAGATAAAAGGAGGCTTTCTAGGCAAACAGTAGGTGCAAAGTCTCTATGGTAGAAGGGAATATGGAATACTTTAGGAAATAAAGGAAGCAAATAACAAGAGGGAGTGTGATAAGTAATGAAGCTGGAGAAGGAGGCAGAAGCCAGACTGTACAGGAACTTCTAGTCCAGAAGAGGAAGCTGTTCATTATTTATCACACAAATAGCAGGAAATCCTTGAAGGTTTTAGGCAAGGAGAGGTCGTATGAACACAACTGCATTTTGAAACAATCATTCTCTCTGCTTTGTGGAAGATGGTTTGGAAGGGCATAAAACTGGAGGCAGGGAGTCCACTTAGGACATTATTGTTATAATCTAGGTGAAAGATGATGGTTTGGACTAGGGTGGTCACAGCAGACATAGAAGTTCTGGACGTATTTAGGAGGCAAAAATGGCAGTACCAGTAAAAGTACATATAAGTGTCAATTAAAGATGTCTTCCAAGTGCCTTGTTAACATGTCTGGATAGATGCTATCATCATTCACTGAAATAAAAAATACTGAAAGAAAACTAGATTTGAGGGAATCCAACTTCACAATTCATTAATTCTCATTTCCAAACCCCAAGGCAGGCCGGTCCCTGCCATACTTCCCATGTTGCAAATACAGGGTGTACTTCCACGTGCACGAGAGACTCTGCTTTTAGGTAGTATTTTCCCTACCCCTGAGATACTGGGCTGGCATTCTCTACCTGGTGAACCCCTTCTAATTCATCAAGGCTCAGTTCAGATACTATCTACTCTTCTAAGCATTATGAAGTTCCTGCTGAGTATAAAAAATTTGCTGAACTGAACTGAAATACACTGCCTGCCAAATAGAAAGATTCTGGCAAGCAGAGTATTCTATGTAGTTTATTCTATATCCGTAAGACATCTGACCATAGATATAGAAGAGCTCCTTTTCAAATGCTCCATCATTCAGGACTAAAACTGACTCTTTCCCATATCACATCTCAAATTGGTTTTAAGTAGCAGGGCTAAATTCCATTATAGTACCTTTTACTTACTCAAAGCCTCAAAATAGGTAAATGATAGCACTTAACATCAACAAGGCATTTGAGCAATTTTATTAGGATTTTTTCTGCTTTGTTTAAAAAAAAAAAGTGACAAAAAATGTACCTTTAATGAAGAAAAAATTTTAGGGGGCAATTATGGCAAGGCAAAGATTTTAATAGTCTATTGACTTAAAGACAGAAGATGCAGTTAAATCTAAAATTTAAAACACAAAACAGGAGAAGGCACAAGGAGAATCAGATCGCTCTACTAGGCTTTCACCTTTAAGGTAAGTAAGTGAGTAAGGCAGAGCAAACTGGTAATCATGAAGATAAGTGAGAAGTTTTCAGTTAGGCTAAAACTGGTGTATAACAAAGTAAAATTATTAGTTTGAACTATTTTCAGCCTTATGGTACTATATGTAACATTTCATCTAATGACATGTAATATGCATGTTTCTGGGATGAGCAAAGATATAAAATTCATCAAAGTATTAAAGAAAGTAACAATGAAATAGCAGTTCAAGTTTTCTAGAAACACACCACACTTTAAAAATCTATAAAATCATATAAAACCTAAAATGTTATATTTCTACTTTAAAAGTAGTCCATATTATAATAAGCTCTGGGACATCTTTTTTATAATCACAGGGCATTTCAAGGTTAGAAACAGATTGAAAATTTGTTTAATTAAGTATCTAAAAGTTAAGTAGCTGTTTATGGCATTCTTACCTGTACAAGGAAAATGATGAGAAAGTAAAAATTTGCAATTCTTCTGAACTGTTCAAATAAATTCTTTGGGAGGAAGTTCCAAAGTGTATACTGTAAGAGGGGAGAAAAAAAGAATACTATTAGAAAGAACACTTGGAAAAGGCATTGATTCATTTTTGGGGGCTGAGTTAAGTACTCGACCACATTGTATTAATCTACTCATCAATGGATGGGCACTTGGGCTGATTCCACATCTTTGCAACTATGAACCGTGCTACAGTAAACACTTGAGTGCATGTGTGTTTTTGATGAAAAGTCTTCTTTTCCTTTGGATAGATACACAATAGTGGGATTGCTGGATCAAATGGTAAGTCTACTACTTTTAGTTCTTTGAGGAATCTCTATACTATTTTCCATAAGGGTTGCACTAGACCATTCACATAAGTGACATATCTCAAAAAATGGAAAAATAAATAACCACATGTACTCACTATTAAATTAGAACTAACTGATCAGCATATGTGCTAGGCTGCATTACGAAGTTGAGGAAAATCATCAAGATCTCTTCCATGATACAAGAAATGGCAGTGGACCAACCATTTAGCACCTAGCACCTAGCCTGGTTAGCCAAAGGTAAAGTTTAGTAAATTAATACTTGTATAGCGATTACTATAGGGTATCAGAAGCAATGAGAAGTATTTTCACATATAAAGTATTAGCCCCACTTCACCAATGAGGACATTCTGATGCAGAGCGATTTATCTGGCCAAGGTGACATAGCTAGTAAATGATCAGGCCAGGATTTAAACACAGGTGTTTAGACTTCCAGGCCACTACTCTTAGTACTATACTATGCCAAAACGATAATTCAAATAGTGACACAGCTGCAATGAGTTAACTCTTAACAGGTGCCAAGTCAAGCAGTATACTGAGCAGAATGTACCCTTTAGGACAGGGGTCCTCAAACTTTTTTTTCCATCATTCTCACATTCTTTTATTTATTTATTTTTTATTAAATGATAACTATGTACGTTAATGCAATTCCGGGGTACAGGGTAGTGTTTTCACACGCAACCTGAAATATTTTCATCAAACTAGTCAACACAGCCTTCATGTCATTTTCTTAGCTATTGTGCCAAGACGTTCACATTCTACTCTTAGAAAGATTCACTTATACCCTTGTAAGATAAACCATAGAAGTTATCCCTCCAATCACCCTCCCTCCACCCATTCCCCTCCCCACTCTCCTTACCCCCTCCCCATATTCTTAGGCTGTTATTAGGTTATAGATTTCATATGAAAGCTATAAATTAATTTCATAATAGGGCTGTGTACATTACTTTTTCTTCCATTCCTGTGATACTCTACTAAGAACACTTTCTAGCTCCATCCATATGAACATGAAGGATGTAAAGTCTCCATCTTTCTTTATGGCTGCATAGTATTCCATGGTGTACATATACCACAGTTTGTAAACAGGGGGCCAGTTCATTGTCCCTCAGACTGTTGGAGGGCCGAACTGCGGGCCCCAGGACGAGTTGGCTGCTAAGCAGGACAGGCAGTGGTGGCAAAAACACCCCACAGGCAGAATAAATGTCCTTAGCAGGCTGCATATGGCCTGTGGGCAGTAGTTTAAGGACACCTGCTTTAGGAATATACTTGAAAAGTGGGGTTGGGGAGTGAGCAGGGAGAAGAGAAAGAGATGCAAATAAAGCCACACCAGGAAAGCATCCTCCAAAAGAATGCAAATCATTTATATCCTGGTCCAGCCATTTAAGGGTAATTCAGGAAACTTTGCACAAGTAAATAATTCCTACTTTTAGCATATTTTAAGTCTTACAATAATATGTATGATCAATACACACTGTGAATCACAATGAAAGGCA